TCCATTGTATCGAAAAACGATGGAGGCATTATTTTTTCTAGATTACACATCAGAATGGGAACAGAATCTTGTAGTCTCCGGAGGGATGCCGCATCCAAAACGCTGGAACATATCGATTGAAACAACAAACTGATTTCAGTAATGCAGGACCATACGTGTTCAGGAAGCATCTCTTTTAGTGCAATTGGTAGAAGTCTTTGCATTATTACATGAGTATCGTGAGTTTTCATGCTCGTCGTCGTGGTAAGTTTGTTCATGTCTACGCATCTAGACAAGTTGGAGCAGTAGCCATCTGGAAACTTCTGAGACGCAAGCCATTGTAATATTGCTGCCTTTTGTGGTTCTGTGACCTGGTAGACTGCTTTTGGAACTTCCTTGCCCTGATATTCTAGATCAACAGAAAGTTCGGGTCTATCACACCAAATAGTCATATCTTTCCTAGCTGCAAGACCGTCTTTAGTTTTGCCTTTCAAATCCATCACCGTGTTAAATATATTGTCAAAGACGTTCTTCTCACTGTGCATGACATCTAAATTGTGACGGATGAGAAGGTCTTTCCAATAAGGCAACTCCCAGAATATGCTCCTCTTTGTCCACTTATGGGTATCACAATACCCATATGGCTCTTGGTTTGGCTCTTCCATAGCCGTAGGAAAACGTCGAACCCGGTTATAAATTTCTTCACCGGTCAATCTCGGGGGTGGGCTCTCTCGTACCGCTCTGCCTCTAATGAAAGACTTCTTGTCCTTTCGATATCGGTGCCTTTCCGGGAGAAACTTGCGGTGACAATCAAAGTAACTTCCTTTTTTGCTGTAACTAAGCCAGTTGGCACCTGATTTCTCCATACATATCGGACATCCCATCAAACCGTGTGTGCTCCATCCCGAAAGCATGCCATAGGCAGGGAAGTCGCTAATGGTCCAAATGATGGCAGCTTTCATGATAAACATTTTATCTGATGAAACATCATAAGTTGGTGTCCCAACGGCCCACAGTTCTTTCATCTCCTCGATAAGGGGTTGGAGATAAATGTCTATCTTTCGCCCAGGATCCTTGGAACCCGGACAAATTAAAGACAAAAATATGAAATGACTTTTCATGCACATGTCGGGAGGGAGATTGTAAGGAGTTAACATGACCGGCCAACATGAATAGTTCTTGCCAAACCTGCCAAAAGGAGCAAATCCATCTGAGCACAATCCCAGCCGCACATTTCGTGGCTCCATAGCAAACTGAGGATGACAGCGGTCAAAGTGTCTCCAGGCTTCACAGTCCGAAGGGTGAGCCATCATACCCTCGTTGGTTTCGTGCTCAACATGCCATGTCATGTGTTTCGCAGTAGCAGTCGAAGCGTACATCCTCTGCAGTCGAGGAGCTATTGGGAGGTAATACAGTTTAGACAGTGCAGACCTATGTCGTGGTTTCTTTTTACCTTGACGAACAGGTTTGTATCTGTCTCCACCACAGAACTTGCAGAACTCAAGTGCCTCATCCTCCTTCCAGAACAACATACACCCTTCCGGGCACGCATCAATTTCAACACAAGGTAGCCCCAACTTAGACATTAACTGCTTCATGTGGTAATATGAATCCGGAAGGGTATGATCTCGCGGTAGCATCCCTCCTACTGACTGCAAGACTCTATTCATGCAAGTTTCAAGGAGACTGTATTCGGCTTTTATGTTCATGAATTCAGTAACGGCGGATAGCTGAGAGTATCCCTCACAATCAGCATACAGAGGTTGGTCGGCAGCTTTTAGAACATCCTGAAATCTCTCAGCCAAACCTTCATCCACATAAGGTTGATAAAATGTCGGATTTTCATCCGCATCTGGTTGATACGAGGTTGAGGCTTCAGGGGGGTCGTTAGGTGGTTGTGGGGGGTTGAACTGAGACATCGGTACACCGTATGCGTCATATACCATTTGTTGGTCCCACCTCATTTCAGCACGGTCTCCCCACGCACTCATCTCTGGAGGGACGTAACGAGACGAACCTACCGTTTGTGGTATAACAGATGGATCCAAAGGTTCGCCGTGAGAAGTCCAATTATAATAATTGGGAACAAAACCGACCGCGTACAAATCATACCCAACTTCGTGTGGGTCTTTAAATTTGAGATTTTTACACTTTGAACATGGACATCTTATTTTATCACCACTCATATAAGCCGGATGTTCAAGTGCAAATTCAATAAATTCCCCAACTCCCTCGAGAAAATTTGATTGCATTCCGTACAATACCGCATCTTTATCATACATCCAACTTCTATTTTGTTTATACATTATGCCTGAATATTATAATAAAAAAGTATACACGTTCAAATACTAACAATAATACTAACAAATTTTAAGTGAGTTCTTTCACTAAATAATCAACTAACTAATTTTCACTAAATTAAATGAAATGCACACAATTCACAACAATAATTCACAAAATATAAGTAATTACCTAATACTTAAATTTAACTAATATTACAAAAAATTTAAGTAATTTATTAACACTACATTTAAATTAAACATACGTTTAACTAAATTTAACTAATTCATTTAGTTAAATTTAACTAAATTTAACTAGTTCATTCCGTCCTCTTTTAATGCATCACTACGTTTAAACCCACGTTTAGCTAACTAATATAACATAATTAACACATCACTAGCTACGTTTAAACCTACGTTTATGTTGAGTATGTGGTTTTGTTGATGACTAACCATGCAGGTGGAACAGGGGACAGAACCGACTACGGAGAGTTCTAATATGAACTCTGGACAGAACAGTTCCACGAAACTCTCGGTCCCATAATTAGTCTGCGTGTGCATGTCTTTCAACGTATGATATTTTACATGCATTAATATCTTTCCATAATTGATTGAAATTTTGTGGAATGTATTGTTACATATGCTTTATGGAAAGTAATCATGAAAGTGGCATAATTTAAATATATTTTTATAAATGATTGGTCTCCCACTTAAGTGAGTTAACCTAAATAATTTAATATTTAATGGAAAGCATCTTTACTACCTTTATAGAAGTTGAACGTAACATGCTTAAATTTATTAAGTAAATATTTCTTTGACATACGATTTTGAAAAGTCATCCCTAGTTAAAATATTAAATGAATATTTTTTTTGGAAAGTATCTTGGCTTGCTATACATGATTGCATGTCTCATAATTGAATATATTTTTGGCACTTGGCCGTTGCATGCCTATATTGGTTAAGAAAATATTTTATTTGAGAATAATTTATACCAATTTGAATAGGGATCCTTGTTTGAAATATAATCCACATAAGATTCGTTGCATGCTCATATAAGAGAATAAATCATTTCCATGTTAATTGCTATTAAATGATTGATCACATAATATATTCTATTCCTTTCTTTTTACTTGCTCATGATATGCACGTATCCTCCTGCTCCCACATATTTATGGTTGACCAAGGATCATCATAATGAAGAGCTAGAAGATCCTTAAATAAAAGGAAAGTATTTCAAATAATATCAAGGCAAGTTCCTCAAACATCTAAAGAAAGAAGAGTCTCAACGGATTCATTCCTAGCAGTCTATATAATCGAGATCGAGAAGAAGAAGAATGTGAGCTGGACCGAGAAAATATAAAGAGAAATACTCAAGAGAAATACCAAGTCCAAGGCATCTGAAACTGCTCCCGGAGTTCTAGACAGAGTTCTTATTCCCTTCTTATATTGTAATTGGGTTATTGAGGACGAGCTAAGAGTAGCTTCCTCGGGTTGGGATCAAGTGTGTTGTGAGGGCTTTGCTGTAAAGCCGAGAGGCTCTCTACCCGCAAGGTAGAGAAGCGAAACTCTTCCTAGAGAGGATAGAGTTGGGGAGGCTCAAGGGTAGATTAGGAGAATCACTCTTGTAACTCTTTCAAAGGCTTGTTTAGTGAAGTTGTTTAAAATTCCTCCGAGGGAGGTCGAGGTTTTTTAATCCCTTTGAGCCAAGGGATTTTTCCTCGTTAAATTCTTGTGCACTTTACTATTTTGCAATTCCCTTTATCCCACACTAGAACTCGGCAAAAAACTGCCACGGTTCCACACAAACACAATTCACCCCCCCTCTTGTGTTGCTAACCGTTTTCATCAATTGGTATCAGAGCCGGTCTTCACCACATAGAGGCTAATACCTTGGGAAGAGATCCGGCAAAATGAATACGGTTGACCGATTGGAAGAAGGGTACTCGACTCAACGACCACCATTGTTCAATGGCAAATACTATCAATTTTGGAAGAGTCGGATGGAAAACTTTATCAAGGCCGATAACTACCAGGTTTGGAATGTAATTGAAAGTGGTGATAATGTCATCACAAAGAGAAACGCCGAAGGTAATGTTGTTCCTAAACCTAAAGTTGAATATACTTCTGAAGATTATGAGAAACTCGAGCATAATGCCCAAGCCCTTAAATATCTAATTTGCGGTCTTGGTCCTGCCGAACACAATCGGGTTCTAGGATGCAAGACTGCAAAACAAATGTGGGATTTGCTCGAGGTCACTCATGAGGGAACCTCACGTGTAAAAAAATCTAAGATTGACATATTCATGCGTAATTACGAATTATTCGTAATGAAGCCAAAAGAGTCAATTAAGGATATGATTACACGCTTTACTAACATTATCAATGAGCTTTCAGCCCTTGGAAGAGAAATTACCGTGGAAGATCAAGTGAGAAAGATTTTGAGAAGCCTGCCCCAAGTGTGGAAGCCTAAGACCACGGCTATTGAAGAAGCAAAGGATCTATCCACCATGACGCTTGAAGACTTGACTGGATCACTCTTGACATATGAACTAGGTCTTCAAGAAGAACAAGATGCCGAGAGTGCTAGACGAGAAAGAGGAATAGCTCTAAAGGCTCGAGAAGAAGAAGAGGAATCCGAGAGTGAATCGGATGATGAGATGAGCATGTTTGCAAAACAATTTGGGAGGATGTACCGAAAGTTCAAGAACAACCGTATCAAACAAGGTAAAAAGAACACTCAATCTTTTAATAACCAAGGCTGTTTTGTTTGTGGTTCCTTTGAGCACAGGGCTAAAGACTGTTCACAAAAGAAAAATGACCGGAACTGCGACAAGAACAAGTCCAGTTCCAACCGGAGGTTCAGCGAAGACAAAGGGTTCAAGAGAGATCTCAAAAAGGCCATGATGGCAGCATGGGGAGATTCTTCTGATGATGAAGAAGAGGAAAATGATAAGAACACCAATCATGCGGGTCTATGTCTTATGGCACTCTCCGACGAAGAATCCGACCAAGAAAGCTTTGAGGTAAACTTTGAAAATTTTCTATCCAAGTTTGACTCTCTATCCAAAACCAAAACTCGGAAGATTTTCAAAAGATTGAAAGCCTTTCCGAAAACGATCATCTTAAATCACGTGTCACTGAGCTTGAGTCTAAACTCGAGGAAGCCACAAGAGCCAAAATAAGGCTTGAAACAAAAGTGGGAGAGTTAATAGATGAAAGGCTGAAGTACAGTGAAGTGGTTCTAGAACAAGATCAAATTATTTGCTCTCTTAAGCTCGATAGTATGAACAAACAAGTTGATCATGATGAAAAGCTTCTCTCAAAAATACCGAGTGTTGGTTGTTTAATTGATCATCTTCATCGTCTTGTTGCAGAGTGCACTGATTTTAAAAATAGACCGGAATATCAATCCTATAGTGCAACGAACAAAACCAGGTCTAGACATCATTCTGGAACTGGTCCTTCTCAGCACAATAAGAAAGTAAACGAGACTGCAGGTCTCGGATATGTTCCAAAGGATATTCGAGCTAATCAAAAATCAAATTTTCAGAACCAACCCTTTAAGGATAATAGAACCCGAGGACAACCCAGTTCTAGACCATATCAACAGCCACCTAGAACTGGACCAAACTGGTTCGATAGACTGGTTCAGAGGCACAAAAACGGTTATGGACAAACGCCTAACCGAACTTTTCATAAAAGAACAAGAGGCTTTTATGGTAAATGGAAACCTAAATACGTTGATACTTATGACAACCGGGTTTGCATGCATTGTGGCAAAATCGGTCATCTACGGTATCAATGTCACTCTCGGCAAAAGACTTTAGAAAGATGCTATGATCATGTTAGATATTCCTCAAACAATTACAAAATGGAACCCAAGCAAGTCTGGGTTCCACGCGCTAACCCTTAATCCTGGAACAGCGCCGAGTGAGGGGGAACAATCACTGGTTCCTTGACAGTGGTTGTTCTAAGCACATGACGGGAGACAAATCTTTATTCCTCTCACTACGGCCATTTAGCGGTGGAAAGGTGACATTTGGAGACAACGGCAAAGGAGAGATCATAGCCGTGGGCAAAGTTGGAAAGTCACCTAGCCATGCTATTGATAATGTATTTTTAGTCAAGGGTTTGAAATTTAATTTACTAAGTATTTCTCAATTTTGCGATCGAGGTAATAGTGTTGTTTTTGATCATAACGTTTGTCGCATTGTTAATAACGAATCACAACAAGTTATACTTGAAGGCAAGAGGCTCGAAAATACATATAAAGTAGATCTTGATTCATTGCCTAATATTAGTATGACTTGTTTGAGCGTTATTGATAACGATCCTTTGCTATGGCATAAAAGGCTTGGACACGCTAGTTTTTCATTAATAAATAAACTTAAAAATAATGATTTAGTTATTGGACTACCGAATATGAAATTTTCACTTGACCATGTTTGCTCGGCTTGTGCCACCGGAAAACAATCTCGATCATCCTTTAAAACAAAGAATTTGGTGAGCACAAGCAAGCCCATAGAACTAATACACATGGATTTGTGTGGTCCAATGTCAGTCCGTAGCCGAGGAAACAAAGAATATGTTCTGGTTATTATTGATGACTTTTCAAGATTTACATGGACTATCTTTCTTGCTAGCAAGAAAGATACTTTTAATGAGTTTTCTATTTTTGTAAGGAAAATTGAGCATCAAACAGGTCTACGACTAATCAAGATCCGATCGGATCATGGAACTGAGTTTGACAACTCACTCTTCGATGCATTCTGCAAGGAACGAGGGATAGACCACAACTTCTCTGCCCCTAGAACCCCACAACAGAACGGAGTGGTAGAACGGAAGAATAGAACTCTAGAGGACATGACTAGAACTATGCTTATTTCCAGCGGTCTAGCTAGGAGTTTTTGGGCCGAGGCTCTAAACACAGCATGCTACATCATTAATCGAGCCATGATACGTCCACTCCTAGGGAAAACACCCTACGAACTGCTCAAGGGGAGGAAGCCCAACATAAGTCATCTAAGAACTTTTGGGTGCAAATGTTTCGTCCACAACAATGGGAAAGACAACATCGGCAAATTTGATGCTAGAAGTGACGAGGCAATCTTTCTCGGATATTCCCCACATAGCAAGGCCTACAAAGTTCTAAACAAACGCACACAATGTGTGGAGGAAAGCATTCATGTAATCTTTGATGAAGCACTTGCCCCAAAATCAATCCAAGCCGATGATGGTGAGCTAGGGATCACTCGCAAGAAATCACAATCTCAAGGAGATGAAGGAACTGACAATCAAACTGGTGAACCACCTCTAACAAATGAAAATGAACAATCTGGAACCGAAGAAGAACCTGGACAGAACACTGACACTGGACCGGTAGAACCAGTAGAACCAGTTTCAGATACTCTCAACAACCTTGTGGACCAACCCAACGCTCCTAGGGGTTGGAAGCTTCATAGATCACATCCGCTGGATAACCTCCTCACCGATCTAAATCAGGGAGTAACAACCAGATCTAAACTTAAAAACTTTTGTGCTTTCTCTTCTTATTTATCTCTTATAGAACCGGAGAACCATGAAGTGGCTCTCTCCGACACTGACTGGGTTCTAGCTATGCAGGAAGAACTAAATCAGTTTGAAAGAAATAAGGTGTGGCATCTAGAACCGAGACCCAAGAACAACACCGTGATAGGTCTCAAGTGGGTATTCAAGAACAAGCTCGATGAACATGGTCAAATCACAAGGAACAAAGCTAGGCTTGTTGTCAAAGGTTATAACCAACAAGAAGGAATAGACTTCAACGAAACATTTGCACCGGTGGCAAGACTAGAAGCAATCCGAATGCTCATAGCATTTGCGGCTCATATGGGTTTCACCCTCCACCAAATGGATGTCAAGACGGCCTTCTTGAATGGATATCTAAAGGAAGAGGTATATGTAGAACAACCACCGGGCTTTGAAAATCAAGATTTTCCTAATCATGTTTTCAAATTAGATAAAGCACTTTATGGCCTCAAACAAGCACCTCGTGCTTGGTATGAACGCCTATCCAAATTTCTTTTGGAAAACAATTTTGAAAGAAGAAAAATAGATAAAACTCTGTTTCTAAAAATAAAAGATCAAGCCCTATTGGTTGTTCAAGTTTATGTTGATGATATTATTTTTGGTGCTACTAACGAATCTCTTTGTGATGAGTTTTCTTCTCTTATGAGTTCCGAATTTGAGATGAGTATGATGGGGGAACTTAATTTCTTCCTTGGCCTACAAATCAAGCAATCAAGCAAAGGAACTCAAATATCTCAACAAAAATACCTCAAGGAACTCCTAAAGAAGTACGGGATGAATGAAGGAAAAACTATGACTACACCCATGGGGACAAATGATAGGCTGGACGCGGATGAACAAGGAAAAAGCATAGATCAAAAGATGTATCGAGGAATGATCGGGTCCCTACTGTACCTCACTGCCAGTAGACCTGACATTGTTTTCAGCGTAGGTCTATGTGCTCGGTTCCAGGCTAATCCCAAAGAATCTCACCTCAAGGCTGTGAAAAGGATCCTCAAATATCTCAAAGGAACTGCTGATTTATGCCTATGGTATCCTCGTAATGAGAATTTTGAACTAATTGCATATTCAGATTCTGACTTTGCAGGTGATTTATTACATAGAAAAAGTACGTCTGGAACTGCTCATTTCTTGGGTCCATGTCTAGTTTCATGGAGTTCTAAGAAACAAAACTCAATAGCACTCTCAACAGCGGAGGCTGAGTACGTAGCTGCTGCATCATGCTGCTCTCAATCACTGTGGATCATGCAACAAATAAGCGACTACGGAGTTGATCTAAAATGCACACCAATTATGTGTGATAATACAAGTGCAATTAGCATATCAAAGGACCCGGTCATGCATTCTCGGACAAAACATATTCATATACGACATCACTTTCTGAGAGATTGTGTGGAAAGGGGACTAGTCAGGCTCGAGTATTGCAACACCGACAAGCAAATTGCCGACATTTTTACAAAGCCGTTGGGAAGAGAAAGGTTTGAAATAATTAGACTGGAACTCGGTCTAATTAATTCCTAACTTATTCGTTCTACTTCTTATTTCCTAATCGCAGTTTCTAATCTCTTTTTCTGGTTCCGGAGAAGGCATGCAGGACCTTCTGGCATCTTCTAAGGGGGAACAATTAAATGTCTTGATTTGGGAAATATTTTGATTCCTTTTGTTGAATGACAAAAGGGGGAAAAAGCTGGTGCCTCTTTATGTGTGCCTCTTTATGTGTTGTTCTCTACTATTTATGCTTGATACAAATCTGCAGGGATACCTTTATTATGGCACCTAATGTTTGTCATCAACAAAAAGGGGGAATTTGTTGAGTATGTGGTTTTGTTGATGACTAACCATGCAGGTGGAACAGGGGACAGAACCGACTACGGAGAGTTCTAATATGAACTCTGGACAGAACAGTTCCACGAAACTCTCGGTCCCATAATTAGTCTGCGTGTGCATGTCTTTCAACATATGATATTTTACATGCATTAATATCTTTCCATAATTGATTGAAATTTTGTGGAATGTATTGTTACATATGCTTTATGGAAAGTAATCATGAAAGTGGCATAATTTAAATATATTTTCATAAATGATTGGTCTCCCACTTAAGTGAGTTAACCTAAATAATTTAATATTTAATGGAAAGCATCTTTACTACCTTTATAGAAGTTGAACGTAACATGCTTAAATTTATTAAGTAAATATTTCTTTGACATACGATTTTGAAAAGTCATCCCTAGTTAAAATATTAAATGAATATTTTTTTTGGAAAGTATCTTGGCTTGCTATACATGATTGCATGTCTCATAATTGAATATATTTTTGGCACTTGGCCGTTGCATGCCTATATTGGTTAAGAAAATATTTTATTTGAGAATAATTTATACCAATTTGAATAGGGATCCTTGTTTGAAATATAATCCACATAAGATTCGTTGCATGCTCATATAAGAGAATAAATCATTTCCATGTTAATTGCTATTAAATGATTGATCACATAATATATTCTATTCCTTTCTTTTTACTTGCTCATGATATGCACGTATCCTCCTGCTCCCACATATTTATGGTTGACCAAGGATCATCATAATGAAGAGCTAGAAGATCCTTAAATAAAAGGAAAGTATTTTAAATAATATCAAGGCAAGTTCCTCAAACATCTAAAGAAAGAAGAGTCTCAACGGATCCATTCCTAGCAGTCTATATAATCGAGATCGAGAAGAAGAAGAATGTGAGCTGGACCGAGAAAATATAAAGAGAAATACTCAAGAGAAATACCAAGTCCAAGGCATCTGAAACTGCTCCCGGAGTTCTAGACAGAGTTCTTATTCCCTTCTTATATTGTAATTGGGTTATTGAGGACGAGCTAAGAGTAGCTTCCTCGGGTTGGGATCAAGTGTGTTGTGAGGGCTTTGCTGTAAAGCCGAGAGGCTCTCTA